CTCCCTGCAGTTCCTGCTCACGTGAGCTGAGCTCTAAGAGTCCTTTAGTTTTTTCTCTTTTTTTGCCCTGGTTGCCATTAAGGTGAAGAAGAGCCTGGGGAAGAGGTTTCGCAGGTAGACGGCCAGGGAAGGTGTCAGGCCAGCTACGAGCACTTCCTTCTTCTTCTGTCCCACTGCGCTGAGAACCACCTGAGCGACCTCTGCGGCTGTCTGTCCTTCGGCGGTGTTCTTGTCCATAACTGCCAAAGAAAAGCCCAGTCAGCACCAACCAGCAGGTAAGCACCTTGCCTAGGAATGCTCTGTTCTAACTGCACACAGCTGCTTGCATGGTTCTGGTTTTTCCACCAGTTGTATATGGGAGCACAGGCATAGTTGGGCTAAAAATCAGGAATTTCTGTCTAGGAAGGCTACGTTTTGGGGGTAACTGTTCCTACCCTGCATCCAAAGTTGTCTTTGATACTTCAGGGCTAACCTGTGTCCCCACCAGAGGCAAGCACACTTCGCAGTAACGCGGTGAGGTGGAGATGATGCAGGGCACCAAATCGTATCTCACCTCCATAGCGAGATCCATCCGCTGTCACAGCATTGAGAGAGAGGTTTGTCTGAATGTATCCAGGGCTTATGACCGTCACATCAATGTCGTACTGCTCCACCTCTGCTCGCAGACAATCAAAGAAGGCCTGGGTAGCGTGCTTAGAGGCAGCATCTGAAAAACAGGAAAAAGACAGTGCACCAAGGAGGAGCGAGGCTGAAGGAAGACTCACTGCCCTAAATGGGTTTTTCACTGTAACGCAGCCACTTCTCTGCAAGAACCCAGCAGCTGTTCTCCAACTTCTAGGTTTGTTTCATTTTAGTGAATGGCAGCAACAGGTAGTGGGAGTGAGAGGCAATTTAGGAAGGCAAAATGTAAATACTCAAGTTGGAAACTGGCTAGGAGCCTGAGCTTAATATCACAGCCGTGCCAAAGCACTACAGAGTGAACCCAGGCTGCCTCCCACTCACGATATAGGAGACGAGAAGCCTGGCTTGGGCAGAAGTGGTTGATAAGGCGGGCTGGGGGCAATGCCAGGCCAGCACAGGAGGGCAGGGCCGATGTTCGCTGCCGAGCGCTGCTGGCCTACGTGCGCTGAGTGCTATGGACTTGCAGAGCAGGTTCTGAGCTTGGCTGCACGCAAGTCAAAACCTGATCACGCAAGCAGACAGGAGTAGAGAAGCGTGGCCCAGGGCAGGATTTCCCCCTGTTAAATGGCTGAGCAACTCCCTTTGTTCACCCCCTTTCCGTGTGTACTTGGTCACTGCCATCACCCCAGCGTGGCTGTGGGGCTGACACCAGCAGCCGGGGCTGAGCGCAGGCTGCGCACCCTGAGGGCCTGGGCAAGAGCTGAGCTCTGTGCTGCTGGGCCCACGCAGCTCTGGTCACTGCTTGTGCTCTGGATGCTCTCCAGAACACACTTCTTGGTGCATCCTTCTACTTCTTCCATCTTTTGTAAGGCTTTTTCCAATAATCTTACCAATATTATTTCTTACCATAACTGATTTAGCATGAAGAGTTTGATGGATCAAGATTAACTGTTCAGGCTTTTATTTTGGCATTGGTTGTACTATGGCACTTCACAACGTTATGTTTTAGTAAGTTCCTACTTTCTTATTAAAGATTAACCAGGCAAACAGCAAGGATAAAATGCAATAAAATTATGGAATTCATCAGAAAGTTTATAGGGACTCTCAAGTGTTAAGACAGGAATATCAAGCTGTTTCCAGGACATGGAAAACATTCTCCTTCCCCATCCCTTAATGTTAGAACAAGGTTAAGATTTTGTATCCGAGAGTGCCTTCCTCAACAGCTGTCGGTGATTTGTGAGCACACTAAGAATGATGCACAGCTCTGTCTTCCCTGCATGCAGCCAGCTCTATAGAGAGCTAAATGGGAAAACAGTAGCCAAGTATTCATTCAGTCCAGTGCCCCAAATATGTCTTGCCCATCCTCTGTGGAGGTACTTACATGCTGATCTGAAAGGAATGCTTATTTTGCCTTGAACACTGCTGATGGCCACAATGTGGCCTTGTCTCCTCTTGATCATGGAGGGGAGAAGTGCTAGCAAGAGACAGAAAAGACCCATTCAGAATAACAGGCCTGCCATTACCGCTGTCAAGAATCGGTGCTTTCAGAGCATTCAAGGATGCCCCTGTGAATTACAAGATCCTTGTTCAGTGCAGGGGTTGGGCAAGGGATAGTGCTTAGAATACCTCTAACTGCAGACTGGCTGGGACTTTCACCTGTGAGGAGACTCCCTGTGCCAGCAAGGCTGCAGTAAGGCTGTAAGAGTTGCTGTGATCTCCCACAGGTGTGGTCAGGATGACTTGGGCTTTTCTACCACACTCTTTTCTGTGTAACCAAAGCAGCTTCCTAGGAAAGCTTCAGCTTCACCTAGAACCCATACTGTGCTCTCTAGGCTTTTATTGGTGCAGACAGGCTAACCATAGCTCTCTTTGTAAGTTCCTGTCAGAGTTGGGAGGTGTTTTAAACACGATGGTATCTCTAATCAGGTGCTTCCCATGCAGTCATGCCCAAGCATGTGCCCAGAAAACACAACTTTTCTCCCCTCTTTACACCATACTGTACCAAATGTACTGAAGAGAAGGCTGAGGGGAGACCTCATCACCACCTACAACTACCTCAAGGGAGCTTGTAGAGAGGTGGGTGCTGGGCTCTTCTCCCAGGTGATGGGGGATAGAACAAGGGGAAACGGCACCAAGCTGTGCCAAGGGAGGTTCAGGTTAGAGATAAGGAGGAAGTTCTTTACTGAGAGGGTCGTCAGAAGCTGGAACAGGCTGCCCAGGGAGGTGGTGGAGTCACCATCCCTGGATGTGTTTAAAGAGCGGGTAGACGAGGTACTTAGGGATATGGTTTAGGGGGTAGACAGGAGCGGTTGGACGTGATGATCTCAGAGGGCTTTTCCAACCGAGCGATTCTGTGATTCTGTAAATATGATCACTAACAGAAGTTAGGCTGTGCTTAGTTGTGTTTGCCTGCAGAAGATACCAGCCAAATCCCTTGTCCCCCTGTAATCCTGACCATGGTTACCTTTGGTGAGGGCTACAGGACCAAAATAATTTGTTTCCATCACTTTCTTGTCCACATCCAGGCCTGTGTCCACAATTGTGCCTCGGAAGCTAATGCCTGCGTTGTTGATCAGTATGTCCACATGACCCAAGTACTTCAGGATCTCCTCAGCAGCCTTTAGGACAGTTTTAGTGTCCGAGAGGTCAAATACCACAGTGTGAGGTTTATGTGCCTGTGAATAAACAAAAGTTTAAGCAAAAGACCAGTTCAGGCTGTGCTGAATGTTCATGCTCACGCCTTAAAGGGATGGGATTTCCCAGCTCTGGAAACACAGAAGCAGGCCCATCCAAACCTGCTCCTGTAGCCTATTCTTTATACCATATTCCTTATACCTTATTCCTTGCCTAGGAAATGGGCAAGTGAGATCTTCCTCAAATACTAAAGTTTGCTATTGTCTTGTTAAACAAAATGCACATGTCAGCTCTTATGTACTCCTGTAGCAGTACCTATCCCTCCCTACTACTCAACAGGGCAACTCACAAGCAGTTTTGTAACAACACAAAGAGAAATCCCAGCCACACAAGACAAGCAGCCTCTCCTTCTCCCGCACTTACGTTCTTTCGGTGATTGGTCACGGCAGAAAGCTCCTGCACCAGCTCTTTGAGTTTCTCGCTGTCTCTGCCACAGAGCACCAGCTTGGAGCCAGCTGCATGGAAGGCTTTTGCACATTCTTTGGAGGAAACAAGAAAGAAAAGTGGACACTTGAATGCTGGAGGCAAACAGCAGACCCACATCATACCTGCTGATGGGTTAAAACTTCATTTAGCTGGTGAGGGTCTAAGGTGGCTGTATTGCTCCTGAGCGATTGGCTGATTTACAGGGAAGCTGCAACAAGATGCAAGATGTGAGGCAGCTGGTGTGCACTTTAAGAGGGACTATGGTTAAATTGTGTCTGTAATCTACTGCTGCAGGGCCTGGGCTTAGGAGTTTTGGTTTCAGTGACTGCCTGCAATGGTTTTAGAAGCCTTGGAGCTAATGGCTCCATCGAGGTGATCCCCTTCATCATGAAAAGGCTGAAGAAAGGGTGCCATGCCACGTCCCCCAGTGCCACCAGCTGCTGAGGCAATCGCATGCTCTTCTACCCTTCCCCTCTGTGATCCAACAAGCTCCCATGCAAAGACAGCATCAATTTAAGCTCTGTTTCTTCTGTAAACGTCCTCATCCTAATGAAGGGCTTTGATGGCAGAGAGCACCTTGCCTTCTCTTCAAGAAGCTTTCAAAGCAATTACAGAAAGCAGAATTAGAGAATGTATCCGCTCAAATAAAGAATAAATTATATTGGGGAGAAAAACCCCTTTGTTTTTATTTAGAAAAAAATACTCACTAGTGTTAATATTGCCAAGAGTTTGAATTTAGAATGGGTGGATTTGTACCAAAGAAGAAAAGGTACCTTAACTTGGGAGTGAGGGGCAGAGAGAAGTGGAAAATAGGGCAGGATATCTGGAAATACAATGAACATGAATGCAGAGCACCAGTTCTGGGAAGTTTTGGAGAAACAATTTGACTTCCTGGCTTTTTCAGGACTTAAAGAGAAAACCCTTGGCAGCACAGGAACAGCATAACTTGTTCCTTACTTTTATGAGCTCCAGTTTAAACAAGATGATTAAAATGTTCCTCAACAAATGCTGAGACTTTCTTACATCGTCATTTGTACTGGCTATAGCTGTAACTGATAGGGCTGTGCAGATGTCTCTCAGAATTCATAGTACTAGGAACTTGCTGCTCATTACTGCTTTATTCCCACAGTGCCCCTTCCACACCCCTGGGTGTCCTGCCTTTGGTGTCCTGCTTTCGGTACCAACCTTTTCCCAGGCCAGAGGTAGCCCCCGTGATCACGACCACTGCGTCCTGGAGGTAAGCTCGCATCCGCATCCACTGCAGTAGCCGAAAAAGGCCAAAGATCCCCAAGCTCCCAAAAAGCAGCGGGATGATGACTGTGCTTGTGAGATCCATGAGTTTTCCTTTCTGACCGCTCTTGCT